GATATATGAAGGGGCGTGGAAAGTATTATCGCATATGTGATATGGGATATCTCACCACAGAAAGATCAAAGAAAATTACCACAGATATGCGACAAATGTTGCACTTCGTCATGTAAATAAAAGATATGTACAAGTATATAACATTGATGTCTGTGGTCATTTCCACATTCTGTTTGTGTACGTCTTTCTATTCAAGATAAGGTAAGTTTCTTTTTTTTACTGTGTTAAAAATACCCCTCCCCGGTAAACACAAACAGCAGTTTGTTTCAAAACTTTTAATCGTGTATTTTTGTTTTATTTTATTAGCAGAGACAGATGGCATATTTCTCAAGTACTAGTATCTGCATTCTTCTTCTTTTAGTATCAACCAGAGAACTGAATGCGTCAGGTAACTCAGAAATGTATCTTGTAATAAATTAACTTCATTTTCATGTACATGTACTAGTAAGTAAATGATTTTTTAAAAATAAAAATTAAACTAGTTCTAATTGTAACGGGGACCGTTACAGATGTTCCCCAAACGCTCCCCAACTCCCTTTTTGTGCCAATTTCCTTTAAAAATTTTAATATGCTTAGTATCGCAGGATTTCATAAAAGGATTTTAAAAGATACAATGATATCAACTTTTTGTCATTTTCACGCATTGCACACAAACGCACGTGCATGCACATGCAAGGTGATTATGACATGTTTTCTAAACTATTGAAATATCTTTGTATTCCTAGAATCAATAAAAAGTCATAAAAACATAAATGTGACCGTTTTTCAAATAAATTGTTCATTTTACGCATTGCGCTTGCGCAAGTGAATGCAAGCACGTCCTTGCATTCAATTTTGATAGTAGTATCATGTAGGAATCCATTATACCTATTCATATTCTAAATTTTATTCCATTTTGCTGAGAATCCAGAAAGTTAAAGGCATTTAAAATTTCAGCCAATCAGATTGCAGCACACGTGAATTTACTTGCTTTCATGATAATTTTTATATATCATACTGTAGATCTTCATAATGAATGACTATGTTCAAAATTGCAAAGAATTATGACGTAAAACAAGAAAGATATTGAGACTGTAGTTTCAGCCAATCAGAGCGAAGCGTACGTGCATGCGCGTAAGACCTTGCTATTTTGACCATGTCATCTTATTGATACTACTAATATATCCATGCAGTGTGAGTTTCAAAAAATTCCATCAAAAAATAGAAAAGTTAAGGCTTCATCCATTATATCGGTAATTTTACATGTTGCACATGCGCGCTCTTGTCAGCACACGCGCAAGTACGTATTTTCATGAAAATTTTTTATATATCCTGCTGTAGATCTTTATAATGTATGACTAAGTTCAAAATTTCAAATGATTATGACGTAAAACAAGAACGATATTGAGACTTTAGTTTCAGCCAATCAGAGCGAAGCGCATGTGCATGCGCGTGAGATCTTGCTATTTTGACCATGTCTTCATGTCTACACAACTAATATATTCTTACATTATGAGTTTCAAAACATTTTATCAAAAAATAGGAAAGTTACGGCAATATCTATTTTATTGGTCATTTCGCGCGTTGCACGTGCGCGCTCTTGCAAGCACGTGCGCGCAAAATGACATTCGTTCGGCAAATCTACATAACATGCCTACTAACCCTATAAAGGTTTCACCTTAGTCGGATGTGTAGTTTACAAGATCATTCGCGGAAAAGATTTTCCCAGGAAGAATAAAAATAACAATTAACTAGAAACGATCTCGTTGCGAGCAACGAGTAGGTCTTCCGTCCGATTTTGAAAAATAACCCATAAAATCGAGCTGAAAATTGATTAAACATATTTTGGACACACTGGTAATTGAAACGGGTCACTAGCGTGAAAATCCAATACGCTTATCGATTACGCTATTTGAACAACTATTCTTACTTCACTTGTATGTACATATAATTCTGCAACAGTTAATCTGTCTTGGAATTATGAAAGAAGAGTCACTATTCATAATTTATCGCCAAACGCAACGAGTAAATCTTAGCGAATTTCTCTTGGAATGTTCATGGTCCTTCGGATGAGACGGTATAGACCGAGGACCCGTGTCACAGCAGGTGTGGCAGGATAAAGATCCCTCCCTGCTCAATGGCCCTGAGTGCCGAGCATAGGCCAAAATTTGCAGCCCTTCACCGGCAATGGTGCCGTCTCCATATCAGTGAAATATTCTGGAGAGGGACGTTAAACAGTATACAATCAATCAACCAATCGTATATAGGCAAATAACACTAAAGCAGTGAACAGCTATGAATGGTTAATTTTTCAATTTTCAATCACGAAAGTTGACTATTCCGATTACTTACACTTTCATGAAAAAGGTGGTATGTTTCACCGAAAAAAATGCCTCGATCGCCCTACGAGGATCAAGAAATAAGATTCCATTATGTTCAATAACTTGCATTGAGAAAATAAAATGTTTATATAGGTTAATTAAATGGTCTTTGAAAAATTTTTATCTTTAAAAATAAAATATTTTCTTATTGTAACAGTTGTCCTTTCTATTGATTAAATATGACACAAGTGTGCATTAGAAAACAGTGGTCACGTTTTTTACTTACTACATTCTTGAAAAACTATTAATTATAACATAATCATATGATTTAAGCTATGTGTTACCGTGATGTAAAACAAAAGATATAGATATTGTACTTCACTGCACATTAATTCTTTTCTATTTCTAATTTGAGAAACAACCAAAACCAATTAAAGAAGACTTGTAAGTAGACCTTGGATAATAAATGTAGTTTGACACCGAATTGCAACGAACCTACGACGTGACAATCCAAGTATCCCTACACATTTCAATGTTCCTTATGTTACTTTCGTTCAAGCAAACGCTCGGCTGCCTCTGTAAACCTCTATTGCGAAATGTCGGAATTGACAAAGACCGCCGCCATTTTGATCCCGCTTCATATTTTTGAATGTTGATATCTCGAGTTTGAATTTTTTAATTTACAAACAAATAATATATTCAGCCTAATGAGATATGTTTCTATCAGCCATACTAATATAATTTGAAAAAATTGAAAAACAAAAAAGTTGAAAAATTTGACTTTTTAAATTTGCACGCCGTTACGACAGGAAGTAGAGACGACGTACAAAAGATCGCGTCTTGGATAGTACTTATCACGATCTATAATCCCTGAAAGATTCACAGTGATATCTGTTACCGTTCTTGAGATTATCCCCGAACAAAATGTCATTTTAAAATCAGAAAATTGTCCGAAACTTGGCACCAGAAAGGAATTTCCAAAAAATCTCCTGAATGAATTAACTTCAGATAACAACACATTGTTCCTGCAAATTTCATGAAAATCCATCCAGTTGTCGTCGAGAAATCGCGTGCACAAAATTAGATGGTCAGAAAAATAATAATGAAAATGAGCTCAAGAGAGCTTCAACACCTATTGCGCTAGAAAAATATAGACTAAAAAAAGCAATTTAGGTATCCTTCCTCTACCTTCACTGAAAATCTCAAGTCAATATCTTCATTCGTTTTTTAGTGATTGCCAGGACAAGCTGACCCTCTGAAAATCAGTAAATCGTCCATATCTCACGACCGGAAGTGACGACGTACATATAAAAAATTTCCAATAAGGTTCAGACCAATATCTATCAGATCTGAAAGTTTCGTGAAAATCGACCAAGCCGTTTCCGAGAACTCGCGTGCACAAAATCGGTAAGAAAAAAAAAGAATACTAATAATAATAATAACTAGAGCCGAGCTCGTTGCAAAGCAACGAGTAGGTCTTCCGTCCTGTTTGACCGGAAGTAACTTTCATTTTAAAAAAAATAAAGAGTAATGAAGTCCCAAAATGGTTTAATCCTCCAAATCTATGTTAATTATTGCAAAATTAAGCCATTTTTGGCAACTTCCTGTTTGACCGGAAGTGACGTCGACGGACGGAAAATTAAGATTTAAGCTTCCAGTGACATATGATATCCAAAAACCTGTCAAGAACAGCAAAAACATGCAATTTTTGACTACTTCCGGTTTGACCGGAAATGACGTCGCCGGACGTATTTTGACGACGCCATTAGGTAGAGCTTGATATTTTGAACAACTTTGCTTCTTTGATGCATTATAAATTCTCAATACTTTTTGAGATATAAAGGAAAAACTTTCGGCCCTTTTTGGCCCTTTATTATAGGGGCCAGCCCCTTATCGTTGATATCTTTCGAAAGATCGTGACATTCTTCACAACTTTTGTTCTATATGTCTTTACAAAATATTAATGTGTAAAAAGATATTGCCAAAAATGTGTGAAAAATTTCTAAATTCCCGATAGGTCTTTTTTCGAGCCATAGCGAGCGCCAACGTGCTGCACTTCCGGAGAATAAGAAAGGTGTGTGTCACATCAGCACATGTTGCTCTATCATCGCTGAAAATCTTACGTTTCTATCTAAAAGCACTTTTGAGAAAAATGCTGGACAATGTGACCCTCTGAAAATCACTAAATCGCGAAAATCTCGAAACCGGAAGTGACGTCATCAAAAAATAAAAAATTATATATCAGGTTTGATTGATGTTCCATCAGTCCTGAAAGTTTCATGAAAATCGATCGTGTCGTTTCCGAGAAATCGCGTGCACAAAATCGGTAAGAAAAAAAAACAATAATAAAAATAATAAAAATAGTGGAAAAGAAACCTAAGAATAACAAGAAGGTCTTCCGCTGAAGACGGAAGACCTTAATAATAGGGAAAAAGAAACCGAACGAAAACAATAAGGTCTTCCGTTGGAGACGGAAGACCTTAATAATAATAATAATAATAACTAGAGGAGATCTCGTTGCAAGCAACGAGTAGGTCTTCCGTTCGATTTTTGATACGATCATAAAACAACTTAAAATGAAAAAAAAGTTCATATCAATTCCTCTAAATACGTGAGAACACATTTGAGAGTGAAATCTGTAAATTTCAGACAACTTCCGGTCTTTATAATTCACTTCCGGTGTGACCGGAAGTACTAAAAATGACCTATAACTCCTCTCTGAGTGTGAAGGAATCATCCCTGATAATTTCGATGAAAAATGCTCATTTTTTGGACTACTTCCGGTTTGGAAAAAATAACTTCCGGTGGACATAATAATACTCGAGACACTCTATTTGCCTATGTAAAAAACACTTAAAAAAGAAAAAAAATAAAATTTTGCATATTTTTAAACTACTTCCGGTGGACAACGGACGTGACGGCAACAAAAACTTTATACAAAATTCAAGAGAGCCTGTCACAGTCTATCATCCCTGAAAGTTTCAAGACTCAATCTCAAACCGTTTTTGAGAACACTTCCGGACAAAATGACACTTTAAAAATAGAAAATTGGCCGTATCTCGCGACCGGAAGTGACGACGGCAAAATAAAAAAAAACGCCTTAAGTTCATATGATTTGCCATCATTGCTGAAAGTTTCATAAAGATCTGTCGAGGCGTTCTCGAGAAATCGCCTGCACAAAATCAGTGAGAAAAAAAAAAATAATAATAATAGTGGAAAAGAAACAAACGAATCAGTAGAAGGTCTTCCGTTGGAGACGGAAGACCTTAATAATAAGAAACAGAGTAAAAACAATATGTTCCCCAACTTCGTTTGGGGAACATACTTTGCCCTGTGTGGAGGTCAAAAAGGCTTCATCCGCTGTTGGAGAGGAACCAAGATTCAGATAATATCCGCCAACTACGAACGAACAGACAGACAGGTGTGTCCAGGAAGTAAATCTGATACAAACACCTGTCGTTCAAAGACGTCAGAACTCAAGGTGAAATGGAATTGTAATGGGTACCAGACGTGCCACCTTCACGCTGCTGATCAGTACTTTGGAGACCCGTGTCCTGGCTATTCAAAATATCTGGAGGTCAAATTGCGGTGCGTAAAGAGTTCAAATCCCCAAGTCAAAGGTATGAAAAATATTGATATCAAAAACATAAAACAATATTACTGTCTCTCATTGCAGCAAGAAAATTGAATATTTAATGCTTACTAAAATAAGCAAATTCATGTATGTTTTGTTCGATTTCAAATTTACCGTTTAATTAACATCAATCCACTTATTTTATATTTAGCAAAATAATTCAAAATTTTCCTCTTTTTTACATTTACGTAGCGGACTCCATAATTGCCTTTAATGCATACATAACCAAAGATTTAAACCTACGTAGAAACACTCCTGTCAATGTTGTTTATGATGGCGTTTGTTACAACTTCGGAAATGCCTACAGTCCCCACAGTGGATTCTTTACTACGCCATCTGACGGACTCTATGTGTTTACTTGGACCAGCCTTGTTCATGTGCGAAAAGTCTTTGATGCTCATATTCTTGTGAATGGAGTCCAGAAAGGATACGGAAACTGTAACAATGAAGCCAATCCGGGTTATGAAAATTGTGCAAATACGGTACCCTTGGTCCTGAAAGCTGGAGACAAGGTGAACATTCGTACGACCACGACAAATAGCTTGTTGAAAAACTGGTCTAGTTTTAAGGGATGGAAAGTGAAATAGGGATGGACAGAACTATTTCTATTCAATGTTCTTTGCAATAAATATAATATTTGATGATTATAATTTTCCTTTTTCAATGTCAAAAAGTTTTTAGCGCGGAATTTAGAAGTGATTATTTGCACTCTGAGAGTCTAGATATTGTTGATACCCGGTATTTCAAAGACTTTTTTCTTTATTGCACTCCGGAGGACCGGGCTGCTCTACACATACAAGTTTAAGTGTTGGTGTATGGGGATTGGGGTGGGAGAAGTTATTCAGAATTAAAGGTTTTCTAAACATTGAAAAGATTGTTAATCAGAATGTTCTTTCCCTTTATAAATTACGAGATGCATAATATATTTACTTCCATTAAGTGAATCATTAAATTTATATATGTTTTTCATATTTAAGATATAAAGATTATTATCATTTACTATCGAAAAAATGACAGGTCACCTTTTTTTACTTCTCGCATAAAAACGTACTCTGCACAGTTTGTGTTTTATATTCTATGATTGAAAATTAATACATGTTTGAATATAGGTGATGCATGTGTCTAACTTCAATTCATATTTTATACAGCCAACATTTACTTGAGGAATTGATCAAGTTTAAATTGGTATCGTTTTTTGTTTGATTTTTATCCGACTATAAGTTTTCAAAAGAAATCCAGTCAAAGCGCCCCCTAATAAAATCGTCCCGGTCAAAGCGTCCCCTGATTTTGGTCAATGTGTCCCCTTAATTTGGTCAAAGCGTCCCCTAATTTTGGTCAAAGCGTCCCCTGATTTTGGTCAAAGCGCCCCTTATAGTAAAATGATGTTATAAAACCGCCCCCAAATATTGGTCAAAGTGTCCCCTGATTTGGTGAAAGCGCCCCTTAACATTTTTTTTCTTAGGAAATATTGTCTGGGAAGCAATTGTCAAAACGTCCCCGATTTTGGTCAAAGCGTCCCCTGATTTTGGTCAAGGCGCCCCCTAATATTTTTACAAACATGTTACGGAATAAAACTGTTTTGTATTTATTATATTATCATTGTTTGGCAGTTAATTCTATAGGGGGCGCTTTGACCAAAATCAGGGGACATTTTGACCATTGCTTTGGGATTGACTCGAAACGTTTTTTTCCCTGTAAAAGTATATTAGGGGTCGCTTTGACCAAATACAGGGGACACTTTGACCATTTCTTGGGGACAGTAAAGATTGTTTCTATAAATATATTTTTTTCTGTAAAAATATGTAATTGTTAGGGGGCGCTTTGACCAAAATCAGGGGACGCTTTGACCAATATTTGGGGGCGGTATTTTTTCTATAAAAATATGTTAGGGGGCGCTTTGACCAAAATCAGGGGGCGCTTTGACTAAAATCAGGGGACGCTTTGACCAATATTTGGGGGCGGTATTTTTTCTATAAAAATATGTTAGGGGGCGCTTTGACTACAGCCAGGGGACGCTTTGACGAAAGTTAGGGGACACTTTGACTGGGACGTTTTTATTAGGGGGCGCTTTGACTGGCTCCCGTTTTCAAAATATTCGCGACTATCCTCTCCATCAATTAGACGCATGCCTTTTCACACATATCGAAGCAGTTTGATGATCAAGACTTATTTCCATTGTTTACTTTATATATTTCCCGGGCGACAATTGATGGTTACATCAATGTTTTCTTGTTTTATTTAATTGAAATAAAATTTGTGGAGATAACGAAAAGTTTTCGAGCTCAAAGGCCATTAAACATCAAAATAGGAGCAGAGCAAACAGGGATCTCTAAAACATCAGAGTTCGTATCAGATGCCATAGGCATAAAGTCTTATTTTTCCCGATTTTTTCGTACATTTAATTCTTGTAATTATTTTCACCCTATGGTAAAGGGGGGTGGGGTGGTGGTGTTGAAAACAAAGTTTATTAATTACATAATTACTATGGTTCTCTTCCTCTTTTTGCCCAAATATGACAATATGTTCAATTAAAGGCAAACACCAAAGTGCAAGAATTCCTGTCTTAAGAAGGATATAGTTCTAATTATGGTTGCAATATTTCACTTACTTTTAATACAAAGTTCACATCTGAAAATTATCTCAAGAAGACCAGATTATATTTCTAGATTAGTTTTTTTTCAAGAACATTTTTTTAATGAAAAGGTTGATTGTCATCATTTCATAAATTTCAGTAAAGAGAACTTTACTCTAAATACTAATATCACAAAAACTAATAATAGGTGAATCTGCCAGAATGACTGATACGCGTTTGAACAATAGAGAAAAGACGTTCATAATCTGTTTTCCATAATAAGACATATCTAAAATATGAATCTTATACAAAACAAAAAATAAAAGGAAGAAATTTACCAAAAACTTTAGAATCCTTGATGTATGCTTTTTTAAACAATTCAAATGACACAACATCTTTTCTTGAAATGTTTATTCAAGATATCTTTAATGTTACAATTTTTTTTATTACATATCTTTACCACTTAAATATAAAAGATGAAGATAACAACAGTGATTGATCTTAAAAAAAATCATATACAATACAAATCTGTGAAGAGGGCATGAAACACGGAACCCTGGAATATTACAGAGATTGGATCATGTGCCCAGGAGGAGTAAGTATCCCATGCTGACACAGGTCATACCACCGTGAGTCTCAGGAATCAGGGTATTCTTCGACACATTGCGTATATAGTCAGTATGAATACAAAGGCCTGTCAGCTAAAATACGATCCAACGACTGGTATAATTTTGCTATCAATGTCATAACGACCATATACATATAATTTACGAAATGCCGACTTTAAACGAGGTTGGTGAAACATTGAAATCCCTACAACATCAACTTATCATTGAGTTTAAAAATTGTTCGGACTCAAGTTTTTGAGTAGCGAATAAGTTGGGAGACATTAACACTATAAGCAGGTGACGGTAGAGTATTACTACATAAAGAAGGGAAGTTGGGAAAAAAAAGAAGAAAAATTAAATTCATCTCGTTTGCTATACAATTTTGTAGTTAATTGGTCCTTAACATCTGTAGTCAGTAAAATATCCAAATATGAAACAGATTTGGCAGACTCTGTGGTGTTTTTTATTTCAAGTTCACTGGGATTGTTACAGTCGAATTGTTACAGAAAATAACTACAAGATGTGTTTGTGAAACACTGATACCCCCGTATGGCAACATAGCGAAGGTTAAGCTTTCTCAATTGCAGATCAAATATGTTGGTACCAAAAATAAGGCCTTTTCACAAGAAATGCGAAATATAAAACGCTAGCTACACCTGTTCCAGGGTTATGACCAAGGTTAACATTTTATAAGATGGGACAAACTCCGGGTCAAGGTCAAAAGGTTAAGGTTTTTGGTTTCTAAAGAAAGGCCTTGTCTCAAAGATTACGTATGAGAAGCATGAAAGCACTGGCCCTTACCGTTCAAAAGTTATGGGCAAGGTTAAAGTTTGTAAAAAGTAGGTCAAACGTCAAGGTCAAGGGGTCAAGGTTCTTGATATGAAATGAAAGGTCTTGTCACAAGGATTAAATTTGTTAAGCAGGAATGCTCTAGTCTTAACCCTTCAAAAATTGTGGTCAATGTTGTATTTTTAAAGTAGGTCAATCTCCAAGGTCAAAGGGTCAAGGTTCTTGATATCCAATGAAAGGTCAATTGAATGTTATTATGCCCCCGTAAACGAAGTTTCGGGGTATATAGTTTTTGTCGTGTCCGTCCGTCTGTCTAACTGTCTGTCTGTCTCTCTGTTTGTCTGTTTGTCCGCAAAAACTTTAACCTTGCCTATAACTTTTGATTTAGTAGAGCTATGACATTCATATTTCACATGTGTATTCCTTGTGACAAGACCGTTCTTTGGGTACCACCAAAATTGACCTTTTGACCTTGACCTTGGAGTTTGACCCAGTTTAACACAAACATTTTGAATTTTTACTTTGACCATATCTTTTGAACAATACAAGGACATTCATACTTGACATATGTATTTTTTATGGAAAGACCTTTCATTGGATACCAACAACCTTGACCCTTTGACCTTGACCCTTTAGATTTCCGTACCTATGAAAAAACTTTAACCTTTGCTATAATTTTTGAACAATATGTACTAGGGCTTTCATACTTCACAAATATAATCCTTGCATGCTCTCTCGCGAACACGGTAGTCTAAGCCACAGACACCTGACGTTACTTATTTTTCTTTTAAGGAAAAAAAATATACCCCTACCTTATAGGTAGGGGTATATTTTTTTATTAAAAGAAAAATAAGCATAAACGTCAGGTGGATCTGGTCGGATATTAAGAAATCATATTCAATATGTTAATTGGGTATTTAAATTAACTTCTCATTATTAAAATTTATGAAATTATGAGGGGAAAAAACATTTCTGAGAGAAAAAAAAATATCCAAAAAATTTTCTTTTATAAAAATATAAAATTACTTGTATATTCGTGGGGTTCGAACCATGGCAATAAAAATCCAACGTATCATAGTGCTTTGAGACTAGCACGCTAACCTCCATGCTACATGGCTCATGGTGAATTTTGGCATTTAAATCATGTATGTGATATGACCCTTGACTTAATGGACTTGGAAGTTTTTCTCGGAAAGATGCGAATGTTTCGTCATAAAAGTGTACTATAGTACTTTTAAGGTATAGTCCGTGGGTCTTTGCTCCATGTTTTTGTAAACAAAAAATGTATATTTCATTGCAGACTTTTAAAATTATCGTTCAAAAAAATGGAGCGAAGACCCACTCATATTGAAAAATCTTGTTAAAGTATAAAAAATGATCGTTTTTGTTCTTTTTAGTGTGTGTTTGCTTTTTCAAAATATTTTCAGTGTTTGTGAGATTTTTGTAAATGGTAGAGATTTTACATTAAGTATACTTTAACATTAGATGAAATATGAAATAAAATTTGGATATTATTGAGATTAAATTTTCCACACTTCTTATCTGTCGCACTATAGGTACTTCGTCCACATTATCCCCCCCCCCCCCATCTTCTTTTACAACATCCAGAATAATAGAG